CACCTGACCGCCCAAAAAATAGTCTTTTCTTTTGGGTAGTTAATTCCTCAAGCTAGAATTTTGGAAACCAGATTATGACGTCATCACGTTTTGCTGGAAATCCACAAAGATCCAAACACATGCACGTTAAAAGGGCCGGCCCGTCATATTGCCGCCCGCAGAGCCGAGAAAGCAACGCTCGGTCACGGACTTCTAGAAGATTCGCGTTCATTCTTGAACCGGACGGAACTTTCGCCCTGTTTTCTTGTCCTCGAAAGTGCCAGTTCATCCTCGCCCCGAACGCGCGACTCTCAAACCTTTTTTGCCGAACGTTCGAGATGGTGACGTGACACACTCTAGATAAGCAGCTGCCAGCGACCTTGTCGAGTCAGTCTCGCTCTCGCTCTTTGTTACGCTGCCGAATCGCCGCCTGCTTTTCTGCTGCCTCGACGCTCTTTGTTTACTTTTTTTTTTTTTTTGTTTGGAACAAGTTCGCCGATTAAACCTTTATTTTTCAGTTCACTGTTCGTCCTCTCGTCACCTTCATTCGTATCCGTATAAATCTGATCACATTGTAATATGTCATTGGCCTCTGAAATCTCCGATAACGGCGCACAGGCAATTTTATATTGTTCAACGCGTCGGTAGTTTTGTTTTGCATGTGTCTCGCCATTTGGCTCAGGACGATTTTCGCGTTTTGTTCGGCCTACGTTTGCTGGAGACGTGAGCTCGGAGCGTGGCAACTGGCCCCCTTGCACGAGAACTGGCGCAGCCGTGCGCGTTCCGAAGAAAGCTCGTGCAGAGAAAACCAAGCAAGGGACCAGGGATGTCAAATTCTGGTCATACATCAGCACGCGGCTCTGACGTCACGCAGCTACGGTGGCGCTGTCGACGGCACTGCGCATGCGCAGACGCTTCACTTCACGCGAATCTGGTTTCTACGCACGCGCAGTGCCCACACCTGGTGTGGGCAAACCCGGGCTTGTTTGTAAACAGCGTGTGCGCCACCACACACGATTTCTCGCATTGATGTACAGACCTAAAAGGCGATCCCACCGCCATCTGTTGGTTCAGAATCACACTAACCAGGGGTGGGGTTGCACCTTAAAGGTGTATCCACACGACGGACCAAATTGCTGTTTTGGTCCGCGGGCCGCGCATCACGTGATCTTACGTCACCGCTTTTCGAGGTCCGCCGGCGGTCCGCGGCCCGCGCTTGTGAGAAATGCCAAGCCAGTTTTCTCGCCCGGACCTTGGCGGCGGACCGCGGCGTTTTTAGTATAATTGAAGTGCTAAGTCTGGCAACAAGCTGACTTTTGTTTGGATTGGAATCCAAATCCAAAGTCGTGTTCTTTTGGCGCCAACTGTTGAAGACGAAGACGACAAACCTTTTGTTGTGCGACGATGGCGGCATGGTGCAACGATGCAACTTTTTACTTCATTGCGCTCGTGGAGCGATTTCCCGCTCTGTGGGACAATAGATGCATGCCCTTTCCGGTTCACTTAAGTCCTCCTCGTCTTCAATAGTCAACGCCAAAGCCACCGCGGCCAAAAGTCTCTTTCGTTCAACCTCCATCTTGGCTCCTTACAAATAGCCTCAAAGCAGCTCGTTGCACGCGTTTGGCGGAGCTGTGAGGTCGAGGGTTAGACCGGCCCGTTCACTCTGTCGTCTGCTCTTTTGGTCCGCCGTGTGGATGCTCATTGCACCCGGGCGGCCCGCGGGCCGCGCATCACGTGATCTATCGGTCCGCGGCCCGGTCCGTCGTGTGGATACACCTTAAAGGGGTCATGAAACGATTTTCCTACTTCTTCCTCCTTAGCTTTAATACTCAACTCAGATGCGAATTGTGAAATCACGTCGTCGTGACATTCCTTCGGCACTGGTGCGATGGCTCCTATACTTCGTCTCACCTTAGCATGGACTATTGTGCTAAAAGCGCGAGCTATTTCCTTTGGATCACGCTTGGGCTGCTGCACAAGCGCTCCTGCAGCGGGTGCTCCAGCCAAGTCAGTCGAGGCTACCCGCTCGCGCTTGTACAGCCTTCGCAGTTAGTCCATGCTAAGGTGAGACGAAGTATAGCTTCCACCGTGCTTCCTATGCACACCATAGAACTTGTCATTCCCCAGTGACGATAAGTTCTGTCAGGGCACTCATTGGCCACGAACGCGAATCCAAATATTCGTCGACGGATTGATTGTTGACGAGCGCATACGTCTGAGTGACGCAGTTCTCGTGTCCAATGCGTGAGCTGGGCTCTGCTGACGTCAGTTTGGCGCCGGTGACGCGCTTTTGGAACCGCGGATGTATCATAGTGAAAAGGCGGAGAGCTTTCGAAGGCAAGAAGGTACAAAATAGCCCGCTATATTTTCAAATGTTCGTACCGAAAAGCTGGCTTTTGACTTTCTAGCCTCTTTCTTTTGGCCAACTAAGCGATATGCGATTAGTAAAGTCCCAATTTAAAATCATTCATTCCAACCAAAAATTCGTTTCATGGCCTTTTTAAGGTTGAACACAGTAGAGCCTAGCGAAATGTTCCGTATTGCCATACTTTCTGGACTAGAGTCCGCGGATTATACACATTTGGAAGTTAAAATTTTACGCGGACTATACGGGAATCTAGTTTTTCAAGATCGCTCATTATGACGAGACGTGAGGAATGTCGTGAATGAAAGAGTACGTTAATGATGATTTATGTATGATGCGTATGTATGATGAGTGCGACGTGTTTGGGGAAAGCGGGGCAGTAGAGTAATTTAAATGGGACCCCGCACTGATATCCACCTGTTGTACACGTCGTGGCCGGGAAACAAGTTTCTTGGGTTGCTATTTTTCAAATTCAACGCTCTGTCTAAATTCTCGTTAAAGAAAAAACAACTTCCGCCGATGTACAACTTGTCTGGCAGTTTGTGACAACTCAAGAATAATTAAGAAATAATCAATTTTATTAGATCTTCTGGAGCAATGATCTTGGTGATGGCACACCGAAATTTACACACACTACAAATTACGCATGAAAACTGAAAACACACACAAAAAAGAACACAATGAATAAATTAACAAACAAGCACACAAACGCGCGCGTTCGCACACACACACGCACGCACGCACGCACGCACGCACGCACGCACGCACGCACGCACGCACGCACGCACGCACACCCACACACACACACAAACAACATTGCACACCGAGCAGAAGTGCGCAACATGAATATAAGCAAAAAAAAAACTCACATCTTGACATAGAGAATTGAAGCGATTTGCGACATAGTACAAAAGTTTATGACATTAGGTCCATGACTTTATTCAAGACAAAAAGAAAATGTTGATTTCAGTACCTCTCAGGCACAAGAAAGTACACATTTCATATATATAGCAACAAAAAAAAAAAACTGCACAGGCACGATTTTGAGGCTATAGCGGTTCGAATAATTCGTGTAACTTATAATATATATATATATATATATTAGTATGCGTTAGTTTAAATGCATGTAAAAACGCGCTTCTCTACCGTAAAAAAATGGACTAACACCGTAACCGTTATATACCCTAAGAAACCTGGAGTGTCTGCTCTCTCGCAAAGCACTGAGTGAGACAATTGCCACAATATACGGAGAGACTCTCAGTGCAATTTTCATGCTTAGTGCCAAAGCGCAGACCGTTTTTCGCGTAGCTGTAGGTGAACTACTTTTTCAGTAACTTGCAGAGAAAAGACAGCGTACATTCGTACATGGAATTGGGCAGTGACGCCACTTTTACCTGCCTGCGACAGAACAAATAGCACAAACCAAGAGCGGGGAGTCGTGGCACGAATCGTGCCTGACTTACCGTGTTTTTTTGGTGTGTGTGTCTGTGTTGCTTTTTTTATATAAAACTTCCGAATAACTGCATATGGCAATTATTGCGGCTAGTCGGACCCGATTCCTAGAGCGAAAGTCCCCAAAAATGTGCTCTTCACATTTTTGTTTTATTAGTTTCACACGGAGTTTTATAAAAGAAAATACAATGGAAATACACTGGTAATGTGTCTGAAGTTAAAAAACAAGCCTTATTTGAGTTTTTTTTTTTTTTTTTATCTGTCAACGCCTTAGTTTTTGACAGCTGAAGGCCGACCCGCAAGAATCGTCTTCTGCCGGGCAGAAAACCGGTTCCCAGTTTCCTTCTCTCCATTACCTCTTTCACTCTTCCCTCCTCCTCTCCCCACAGAAGCGCGTCTCTGAGTTACTCCCCGCAAAAAGGAAGAGCGTTTCTCTTTTTCTCGAATGAAAAGGAGGAATTGAGGAAGAGTTTCCTCCTTTCTGCTTGTTGGTCGTGAGGGCGTGGCGAGTCCCGAACACCTGATTAGCGCTCCACAGCCAATCAGATTGCAGCATCCGCCGATATAAAAAGGCCGAAAGACGAACCGCGAAGCAAGAAGTGTAAACATAATAATCTATATGCTCTGCATTTCTCAGTTAATAGTGACTAAAGCCCAAAAGTGCTGAGGTTTGTTCATTTTCTGTAGCACCGTTCGGTCAAAATACAAGGTTGTATAAGAACGTTCGAAAACGTGTTACGCTCAAGGTCATCATTAAACCTCCGCTCAACTACCAATAAAAAAACGAAAAAAAGCAAACTGAAAAGGTTGTTTCTTACCACGATAGAACATTCTGGCACGATGGCGCCATCTGTGAGGTGACCCTGGAACTGCATTTCACTAGAGCGAAGGTTTTGCGCTATTGGCGATATTGAATGCACGTAGTATCCATGAGAAATGGTCCTATATAATACGGTCAAAATAGTTTCGAGTCAAGAAAGGAAGAATGATGCGCGAAAAGAATAGAAAATATACGGAAAGGGTAAGTGTTCCATGACCACCCATAGATGGCGCCAGTGTGTTCACCGTCATAAGAAGTTTTAAGATGTTTTAAGGCTCACGGTCATAAGCAGTCGTAAATGTGTGGACCCGCCTTTACACGTCCCTCAAACCAATATTGTGCCTCTTCAGCTTTTAAAGGTCGTCCTGTCCATGTTGCTCGCAGGCCTGTTCCCGGAGTCCCACGGTATCGTGGACGACTACATGTACGACTCGGAGCGGCGCGAGTTTTTCCTGGGCCTGCCGCACGAGCACGCTGCCAGCGCCCACTGGTGGGACATGGCCGAGCCCGTCTGGCTGGCCGCCGAACGGCGCCGCCTGCGCTCGGCGGTGTACTGGTGGCCCGGCTGCGAAGTGGCACTGAACGAGACGCGGCCGGCCATCTGCATGCCACACCGGAGCCCCCACGGCTGGCACGCCCTGGACGCTGACTTCAGGCGAAAGCTGGACGAGGTGCTCGAGGTGTTCGACACCGACGAGCTCAGCCTCGCCATGCTCTACTACGGCGCCGTCGCGTACGCTGGTATGCTCGTCGGGGCTTCCACGCAGCCTCGACGAAACTTTAGTTCCTTAAATACAATTTTAGTTACGTTACTAGAACAACTCAGTTGAGAAACTGCCATAGAGCCTGCTTTGAAAAGATGGCTTCCCGATCCGTGCTCGAGAACCGAACTAATGGCGATCGCAACGCCGCCATTTCTCCCGCAGCGGCCACTCCGGGAACTGCACGCCTGCATGTATCGGTTCAGGTCTAGTCGCGCAAAGGCCGGTGGCGCCATCTCACATCGCCGGTCCGCAGTAGCAATATAAATTAACTTTCATGTTTTGACTAGTCGCTAAAGGGTTGCGCTGTTATCGTATTTAGTTTGGTCTCGCTGGACGGGAGCGGTCCGGGTTTGAAGGGTGAGTTTCCCAACTGAGTGTTTTATTTAGTAACGTTGGTTAAATAGAACCTTCTCAAAAGTCGCGCCATTACCCGTCCGCCATTGTTTGGACACGTCCTCTGAGCATGTATTGGATACAAAGCCTGCGTCAGTGTTGGGCGTGGACTCGGCAAACGCTCCGATCCAATCAAACGACAAGCTTTGTTCCAAAGGAATGGCAAACACAAACGTTTCTCGATGGACTTTTGAAAAGGGTCTAAAGCGCGAAACACATGTACGACGAAACCGTCCGATCCGACGTCCGACCGCGCAATACGTCGGTCGGAGGCGAGGGTTTTCAACGCCCTCCGATGCTACGAAAACCCTCTCCCCCCAAGGTCATTCCGGCAGTCCGCACGTCGGATCGGAAGGTTTCGTCGTACATGTGTTTCGCGCTTAATGTCGCGTTTGCGCTGACATCTTTGGAATAAGAAAAAACAGTGAGTACGCAGGCGAGCTGGTGGATGGTGATCATGATGTAGAAAACCTGAGACTGTGGTAAAAGCAGGGAAACTTGGTCGAAGAAAAAAGACAGGGGAAGATACGTTCTCTTCCCCTGTCCTTCTTCTTCGATTAAGTTTCCCTGCTTTTACCGCAGTCTCGGGTTTTCTACATCATTATCTTTGGAATCCTGAGCAATTTTCAATGCAGCTAGAATCCTTACTACAGCAGCAAAATGATTATATAATCTCTGTAAACTTTTTTTTTTTCTGGCACACAGAGTGAATGACGTTGGACATTGTGATTTTTGAAAGAGCAAAGAGGAATACATTTTCGAGATAAATGAAAACGCGGTTGTCGTTTCTTATCGAAAGTCATTCTAGTTACATTTTAAATTTTGAAGAAAAAAAACATTTTTGAAAAGAAAGATAGTGCAAACGACAAGCTTGCCTTGTCTACTTTCTCTTCAAGTTTCCTTCTCAGTCTCAGGGTTTAAGATCAACTCGCGCCCGCACTTTGACCTTTCTTTTTTTTTTTTTTTTTAAGATCATTGATTATTGAAGCGGCCGAGGCCAAAACTGACGTTTCTCCCACTTTTCGAAGATGGCATGTTTAACCGCTCACTGGGAGTTTTCGCGCAGGCCACTTCAGTCAATAGCTTGAAAACAAAAAATCCGCCACGCTTTCCATTTGCGCTCTCTTCCATTTCAAAAATGCTCCCGAAACTTTTTTTTTTCTTTTTGAGGGGGGGGGGGGGGGGGGGGGGGGGGGGGTCAGAATTGAAAATTTGACCGCGAAACTGTGCTCGAATTGAGATGAAAACACATATGTATTGAAAGATATCCGTGCAAATTTGGTTTTTTATTCTGCACTAAAGTTAATAATGCAAAAAAAAGAAATAGTAAACATGTTAATGACCATTTCGTCAGCTTGTTAAGACCTGCTTTTCTAAGGTAGACAATCTTATATATGTTTAAAAATAATTATTCTAAATTTTCAATCACTCTCGTTGGTTGGCGGTATTTCGCTGTGTGCTTTCAAGTAAGTTATAAAAGCGTTTCAAGGTAAACGGCACATATCGTGCATATCTACTTGGCTGGCGAAAAACGGGACTCCATAGAGCATTTCATTACAGGTCACTTTCGAGGTCCCGAGAGCAAAGAACGTCACAAGGCTCTGTTGGAATTCGACAATCACCTCAACTACCTCCTGGACAAGCTGGAGGCGTTGAATCTCACTGAAAAAGTAAGCTGACTCTTACAATAAATAAACCTGAACAGCAAAATATCCTTTAAAACGTTTGTGAAATAATAGCAAAATTTGAATGCCGGAGTGCCTCGGTAATTTTCTTTTTAGAATGGCGTCACTCTCTGTAGTACCCATAGCCGAGAGCACGCGATCGCTAAAAGATAAAAAAATATATTTGCCCCGCGAAACGGTGGCGAAACACCCGTAGAAACTAAAAGCTCGAGGCGGGAGGCGCTTTTTAATGCGCACCAGAAAAAAGCACGGAAAGAAGTATCGTGCGACGAAACGACCTGATGTCACCAACTAATACAAAGTCCTGCCCGCGTTAAGGTACCTTAATGTATACACGAGACTTACAGGGAACAAGTAACAACAACAATAAATTCTGTAACTTGTATGTGCATGATATATGGGGTACAAGTAAAAAAAAAACCTTATGTAACTTGCATATGCAGATATATGGCACACGCGAAACTTTTATGCTGGCTTAAATGGACATATTATATTTTCTAAAGTACAATGACAATTGCCACGAGAAAAAAAAAACTACGAATGTAACGTATTCGCTTAAAGATAACGTGGTAACTTTTTTGAGAAACAAGAGCCATGCATATAATTTCCTACGTAGTACCTGGAAGGACGGCCGCGGGATGAGGAAAGGAGACCGCTGAATAAGCAGAAGAAAATAAAAAAAGTAACTGAATGCTTTTCGCCATGTCCGAGGACTTGTTACGTGCGCGTGCGTCGGCGAGAAACTTCGCCGACGTACGGCGCAGAGCGAGGTGAGAATTCGGAGACATCGTCGAAATATATCTGCAGTCTTCGCATTCAGTTTGAGCTTGCTTCAGTAAACTGCAGAGAAGGAAACTAATTGCGACCGATATTGTACAAAATGCGATAGAGGCTGATCACCAGTGGAATTTAACTGACAGTATACCTTGTGCGTTGACCACGGCTGGGACGAAGGGTGAACACGTGACAAGTGTGGGTATGCTAACATACTTAGTACTAACCGCTTTACCGTCTGGCGCTACTGTGCCGCAGCGCTGATATTGGCGAGGAGATCTAACTGTAGGGGACGCTTTGTCCAGCTTGCTTTCCCCAGAGCTCGGTGTTTACCCAAGATAAGGCGCCTGATTTTTTGCATCATCTTCCTGGGTGCAGCGCGGAGCAGAGTGTAACGTCAAAAGTGTTGAGAATAAGTGGAGTGACATTGGCGGGACGCGACAAGCCTGATCTCTCCCAGAAGCAGTCGTCAGAGTATGCGAGCTTGGCGTGCAACTCGACCCTAATGCTGAGCAGGTTCTGGACAGATTGTTTTGACTGGAAGGGGACGATCTCAGGTGCGGAACCCGGAGTCGGGGCTGTGGCTCGCTGATCGCATAGCCCAGAGGAAACACACTTGGAGTGGGGCTGCTGAAGTAGAACTTTTATGTACATTGAATATACAGGTAGCTGGTCGACAGTTTGACCGGCGTCCTCGGGCTTTCTGAGCCCATGTTACATAGCTCACCGAGGAAGAGAAGGCCCTCTGATATCACCGACAGAACCCCCCCCCCACACGCACACACACACGTACACAAACACACACACACACACACACACACAAAACAAACAAACAAAACCGGTGTTTCTCCTTGCGAGGGCTGGCGGTCCGTCTCGTGGATTCCGGAACACGTTTTTTTGTTGTTGTTGTTGTATGTTTTTTTGTGTGTGTGTGTGTGTGTTTAGAGCTCCCAGCGAAGGCCACTACCGGCCCGATGTCTCAAGGGTTCTGCGCCCCGGGTGCAGTAGGCTGATCTGGGGCGTTCTCCCCTTCAGTGCTCCCATGGAAACAAAACAAGAAGCACGGTGCATGCTGCATTGTTCACGTAAACGCCGAAGTATAGCTGCTACAAGAAACTCGGGCGACAGAGGAACAAGAGCTTCAGCCGAACGCCGACGGAGTGTTCCGCTACGTCAGCCGAGCGCTGCGTCATTCTTTTTGTTGTCTTCATGGATATAGTTCTAGATTTAGCTGCTTGCGGCGCAGTGATTGGATCGTCTCAATAGGGATCGCCAAGGTGAGGGTGTCGTATTACGCCTTTCTAAGAGAGGTGACCATATAGTGTAGCACGATCCTCACTCGGTCAAAAAATAGTAAACCTCGTGCCACAAAATAAAAAAAAAAACGCGCAAATGCATCGAAATGTGTATTCGAAGCCAACTGCGTACAAGTCAGAGCAGCTTTCGTTACAGATTGCAGAGATAGAGCGTACACGCAACGTCAAATATTACAACTGCGCCCATGTATCTTTATGTTTCAGGTGACGTTGATGGTCGTCTCCGACCACGGAATCGCGAACACGTCTCCGGACTCAACCACGCCGATTCATTTGGAGAAATACTCGCCTTTCATCAAGTATATGCTCAACTTTGGTTCGCATGCCATGGTGCTGCCAAGAAATGACATGTTTCTGCCGGTAAGAGCCAGAGATCTTTCCTTTTTTAAAGATCTTTAAAAGCAGCGGTGAGTAAATGTACCGTGATTTCCGCGGTTGGGCTTTATAAATTCCATACTCGCTCATCGGTGGTATGCACTGTTTGCCATATGAAAGACAATTTTAAAAGCGTTGCTTCGACGCTTTGAGTGTCTCATTAAAGTCAGTAATTGGTTGCTGGCTTCTATGAAAATACAAACAAGTTTTCATTAAAGTGCCCGATGTTTGCTTGTCTGACTTTGTTTGAAAAAAATAAAATCCAACTTGTCTTAGTGAAAAAAACCTGGAGTGGAGAGGAGAAATAGTGGCAAAGATGTGAAGGGATTCCGAAAGGACGGTGACAAATATTGACGAATACGATTAGTTTTACACTTTCCCAAAGAAAGTTTATGTCTAAAAATCATCGTCAGAGTAAAGCAAACCTGGACAGCTTCTTTTTTTTTTTCATTTTATTCAGGGTAATAACGAACAATGCTGAACAACCCTATTAAAAGGCTAATGTCCTCAACTCCTATCATGTACTGTGGTGAAAAAGGCGGAGAGAGTATGCAAACACGCCCTTAGTTTTCTCGGATTTCTCTTGCAACCGAAATATGTATACAGTGGTTAAAAAAGGCTCAAGGCACACCTAAGCACTTCTTACGAGTTGTGAATGCGAAAGCATGAATGTCGTTCTTCGCGCCGCGGTCGCTTCTGATGCTCTCTGCGCCGCGGCCGCATCTGACGCTTTTGGCGCTGCCCGCGCGTGAGCAAAAACGGCCTAGGCGCCGAGAGGATCAGTGGGCGCCTCGGCCGTTTCTGCTCCGGCGCTGGCACGCAGCGCCATGCGGTGGCGTTAATTGAAACGGACGCGCGGTGGCTTCATATCGCTGCCGCTTTACGTGGCTTTCTGCGTGGTTTCAAAACTGGGATGCTTCAGATCACGGCTTCGGGAATTTATCTGCCGTTTGGCGCAGCTGATGACGTCGGCTCTCTCCATGTGACAGTTAATGCTTCCGCGTTAAAAGTGCTCTCAAAAGACGATTGGGTGAATTTGTTGACAATACCAATAAAATTACTCGTATGAAATGAGAGAAATTCGTAAAAAAAAAAGTGACCTTCTTTTTTGACGATTTACGCAATTCACGTTGTTAAACAATTAGTTGTGCATATTCTTCGCTTTGATTGTCAATGGGTACTGTCATCTTCATAAAACATTTTGAAAAAATCGGTATACGACAAGTATAAGATGGTAATCTTAGTTACACTGTGAGTAAGCATACTATACATTGTAATGTGAGCACAAATATAAATTTATTTATAGATAAAATGGTCTCTATTCACGTTGTTAAACAATTAGTTGTGCATATTCTTCGCTTTGATTGTTGCCAGTGGGCACCTGTCCTGTTCATAAAACGTGAATAATTCGGTAAAGGACAGGCGTCAGATGGTAATCGCAGTTACCATTGTGAGGAAACGTATTATACACATGGCAACGTGAACACAATTATAAATGTATATGTTTATTTATTCAAAATACCCCTAAAGGCCCTCAAGGGAGGGTGTTCCATTGGTTGGGGGAAGGGGGGGGTGCATAAGATATAGAAAATACAATAAGAGAAATGTAAGCATGAGAGCAATGCAAACTACACAAAAACAATTATTTATTCATGCAATTGATAGGGTATTACGAGAGAAGTATGAATATAAAAAGATCAGACGCGTCAACATTCAGGCCTAAACGAGCCAACCGTAAAACGAACCGGTAACAAATAATTTATAATAAGGGTATTGATCTACTTGATATCACGCATAAATTTAAGTAAAGATGAGTCCCATACTAATTCTAATTCAACAGTGTTTCTTCTTCTTTTCTTTTTTTTTTATATACATACTTGTTTGTTTTCAAAAACCGTGAAAGCTACACTTATTGTGCGCTCTGTGTTGATGAGTAATACGGCCAAGGGGATATCATGGGGAGATAATTAGCAAAATAACTCGGATAATTAACTAATATCGGATAAAAATAACTCGGATAATTAACTAATCTAAAATAAACATTGTCCTTCTAATGTAAAATTTGCTGAGCGTCATCGAAAAGTATTAAGTAAATTTTAGAAACACATTGGGGTTACCATTCGCGCAAAAGGCGCACTGTTCGCGATGCGAAAATGCGAATAAGAGACAGAGAAACCGTGCGGACGCGTTTTTCATGAGTGGTAACTTTAGCGCAGCACCGCGCTTCATACGCTCTCCAAACAAATATTTCTAATTCTTGTTTGGTGGTTTTTGATGACGCTCAGCAAGTGTATGGTTGGAACTACGTGTATCTTCAATAATAGAAAAGTTAATTAACCTACCTTCTCATGACGATCTTTACTCCTTGGACGTAAAACTTACCTACACAGACCGCACTAGCACTGTAGCTTTTACGGCTTTTTAAAAAAAAAATCTGTAAAGTCGTTAAAAAAATGAAAGCCGTTCACAACTCCCTGTAACGCCGAATTGTAGCGCAGCAGCTTGAGGAGGAGGAGGGAAGGGTACTGAGGGGAGGGCATATTCCTGCTCCTTCCTCCTCCCTCGTGATCCTGCCTGCTACTCCTGAACGAAAAGGCTCCGGTTCGGAGTCGGCCGAGGGACAAGAGATAAGAGTCTTTTAAAATAATTTTTCGGAGTAATGAAAATTCGGATTCGTCCTCCCTGCTCCCCTCCTTTCTCCTCCTCCCTTCACGGGGGTCACGTGATCTCGGGGGGGGGGGGGGGGGGGGGGTCACGTGACCTGGGGGGTGTCGCGTGACCTGCAGGGGGAGTCACGTGACCTGGGGGTGTCACGTGACCTGGGGGGGTCACGTGACTTCACGGTTACGCCGTCGGCGACGCCGCTCAAGGGCGCCTAAGAGCTGCGCTCTAAAACACCCTAGGCTATTTGCACTGAAACACCGAATTCCGACATTTTGTGTTAAGTGTCACTGAGGGTCAGTGACGTAGCCAGAGAAAGATTTTATCCTCCCCCCCCCCTCTCCCGATATCCCCCTTTACCCCGAAGGAAAAAAAAAAAAGAAGCGAGGCAACGTACGCCACTGCTGAGGGTATAAGATTAGATATCCAATAAAAGCTGTGTTCCACTGAAATGCGGTTTCTTTTCACAAATGATCGAAGTGATGCGACAAAGTTTTTTTTTTTTTCTCTGCGTCTTGCCGTTTAAGCACGGATGAGAGATGAATTATGCGATGGCAGAAACACTTGTCTCCCAAATTACGAGGGCTGATTGTCAGCGTGTTCCGGTGCACGGGGGAAACAAATTTGTCAGGTGCCACGCACTACAGGATTGACGAACATGCACACATTGTGTTCGGTTAAGACGAACGGCGCTCCTCTCATGCAGCTGCGCCGAACTCTGCTGGACGCTCACATCGAGGGCCTGCAGGTGTACACCAAGGAAGAACTCCCCGACAGGTACCACGTGAAGCACAGCTCGCGGGTGCTGCCGCTCTACTTACTCACCACGCCCAAGTACTTCATTCTCCCGGTACGCCGATTCGCGCTCTGCTTTACCCACGTTCGAGAACGCTGATAGCTATAAGACAATGCAACAAGCACGAGCGTCGTGTTGCCCCGCATAATACTTGCACTGCACGAGCGCGCGTAGTGGACACTATCGCTGAGCTTCAGAGTGTTTGCCGCTTAGGGCGGTTCGGGAATCAACTAAAGATGACGTCATACACCTGCCTTGTCTTCTAGGTGGCATTAATGATAGATAGCCTGAAGCTTGCTCCTGCGTAGCTATACTTCGTTTCAGATTCGGTCCAGACGCAGCCGATGCTACAAGCGCGAGCATGTGGCCCAGAACAGTGCTTGCACTGCACGAGCGCGCGTGCTTGGCAGGGATGCTGAAAGCCCGGAGCTCGCGCTTGTAGCTTTGGCTGCGTCTGGACCGAAGCTGAAACGAAGTATAATTGAACGCAGCTTTCAAAGCCAAGAGCTCGTTTTCCTATGCGGAACGCAAGTTCATGTGCTTCTTTTGCAAGGGTTGCAATGACGTCGAAATGCCGAGCTTTAATTGGTTGATATTAGGGTAGTGGGTAGGACCTCAAAGCAAGCTGCCTTGAGGTCTAACCACCCACTACCCTTCAATCAGAGCTCGTCGCCCTGACATCACCACGACTCCCGCAAAAGAAGCAGACGAACTTGCGCTCCGCGTAGCCTTTTCTGTGTTCTATATTGCTGCTGTCGTTGTTTTTGTTGTTTTCGTTGTTATTGAATTGTTTGCGTACACCCGAATCTTTGAACATAAGAGAGAGGGACTAATCATCCTCCAACATTTTCCTTTCGCGCCCGTCCCGTGTGTAAAACAGAGCTGCCACTGTAGCATTCACGCGGTAACGTCTATTTTGTTTGCATAATTCCAGCTTGGGGAAAGCAGCAAGACAAAATTGAATCACAAAAAGAAGTTTCTCGGATACCACGGTTATGATCCGGAACTTCCGCAAATGAGGACGATATTCTACGCTCAAGGACCTGGTAAGTCGGCTGATGCAGATACAATTAAAAGTTCTGATGTTCCGCATCTACGGGGGAAAAGAAAAAAGATAAATGTACGCCAATTAGATCTATCTCTTTCTTTCTTTTACGAACCGGTGGGGAAAAAAACATTAAAAAATAAGCTAAAGCCTTTTTGCATTGCTTGCATTATCAAACTAATATTTTATAGATAATTCAGCACCTATATGGCCAATCTATTCTTATTCGACCTTTCTCGCGTGAGTTCGAACTTGGTGGCGCCAGTGTGCAAATAACATCCAACGACTTCCGGTTCTGAACTAGACGGCGGGTTTCGCAGTATATGCGACATCAAATATACACGCTATCTTCCGAAAATGGCCACTTACAGACTTGTCGAACTAATTCACTTTTATGATAAAATAATGATGAGTACAAAATTTGGAAATGTACGGGAACCGGAAGTGTACCCTGGCTACCCAACGGGTAGCGCCAATGAGTTTGTTGCTAAACAAAAAAGGAGGCGAATATTGGGAAAATCACTGCACCATAATTCATATAAACATGTAGACAGGAATAATAATTTAGGACAGTGGGAACCCTTGAAAAACCTTGACCTTTTCTTCCAAAGGCTCGTGAAAATCTTTTCCTCTCTCTCTCTCTCTATATGCACCAACACAGAGTTTACAAACAAGCCCACTTTTGCCCGCACCGCGTGTGGGCATTGCCCGTGCGCAGAAGCTAGAGTCTCGTGAGGCGAAGCTTCTACGCATGCGCAGTGCCGATTGCAGTGCCACCGCAGTGGCGTGACAGCAGAGTCTTGAGTTGGCCTGTATATGTATTTCTGTTGGAAACAACTATGAAAAAACATTCGGCCTTTCCACTTTGCTGAAGAAGGAAGACCAGCGAAGCTGTACTATGGCGGGGGATAAACTTCATTCCCACCATAGTAAGTAATGGCCGGCCGCAGGTCGGCAAGCCAGAGTGGAAAGGCTAGAGAGGTTGCGCCATCTATGGGCGATGGCGGTAAGCGGACAACCGGCAAACACTAGTGTCACTAAATAAGCTACGCTTATTTAGTGGCTCTAGCAAACACAGCACTCTAGAGAGCTACCGCCACCTATGAGCGACGGCGGCAACCAGAGTTTTGTGTCGACATTTCCTTGCGGGGGACGCAATCCTGGGGAAACTAGTCCTTAACAGCTCTGCTGTAAAAAATATATATATGGTTGCAGCTTAAGGGGGGGGGGGGGGGGGGGGGGGGTAAAGACGAAGCCGACACTAGGGACCAATCAAGCAGCATCAAAAGCGCGTCACTGGGCTTTTTCTGTTTATATGATTGGTTCAGCGATGATAGAACACGTACAGAAAAAGGACGACCCCCATGATATTGCCCTTTTGACACTGTCTGATTGGTCCCACCAGCTCGTAGCCTAGACCACGAGCTGATGGAATTAGCTATAACTAGAGCCACTCGATATGGCAGCGTAGATGCCAGAGTAGCGCCACGCTTTTCCCTGTGCCGCCTCTCACCACGATTGGTCACACGCGGTACCATAGCAACGAGCTGAGCTGGCTCGGTTTCCGTAGCAACCGAGTGACGACTCGTCACGTGACCTCTCAAGAGCCGCGATGTCATCAGTAAGATGGCAGCGCCCAGAGCTGGTGGATGCGAGTTTGTTCGGTGCGCGGAGTCGTGATGTACCGCAGCTTGCCGACGATTTAGGGCTTCTTCGTGCTTTCTGACGTAGGTATAACGTGAAGATATGAAAGAATGACACTTTACACCCTTTCTGTGCAAGATCGCTCTGGATATTAGCACCTGTGCGACAGCATCAGTAATATCGCCTTAGCGGTGCTCGGGTTTCCGGATGTGTTTGAGGATCGATAAGACATTTAGCATGTAATTTTCGCATTCTTTTAGCTTTATTTGAAAGCTGGAGTGTCTGAGAATCGATGCAAAATTTATGCGTCGCATGTTGGGCCTTGGGGAATTTGTTTTTGTCCCAGGTAACCGCATGATCACAAACTTTTAGCGACGAAGCTCCTGCGATGTTTACGTTTTGTACTAATCAACCAGGGAACCTGGATTCAATCCCCACCCCTGCCCGTTTCGATCTGGATGAGCAGCGTGCCGGCCTGCGGTTGTGTATCACTACTGCGTGGTGCACGTTAAAGACCTATAGACCCCGGGCTAGCGGTTATACTGCATTGGCTAAATTGCTCATCTACAGCGAGTGACTCGTCGCAACTTTGAAATGGCTGACCAACTACACGCTGCATAAATATTCACAGAACTTCCAAGTAACCAATGATTTTACGATTTGCGCAGCGCAAGTTCGTCTGCTTCTTTTAGTAGGGGTTGTGGTGACGTCAGAACGCCGAGCTCTGATTGGTTCTGAATAAAGAATAGTGGGTAGGCCTCAAGGCAGCTTGCTTTGAGGTCTACCCACTATCCTTCAATCGGAGCCACTCAGATCTCGGCGTTCTGACGTCACCACAACCCCTGCAAAAAGAAGCAGACGAACTCGCGCTCCATATAGCTTTTAGGATAAAATTTTCGCATTTTTCTAGCTTCCTTTGAAAGTCTGAATTTCTGAGAATCATAACGAAAGGTACACGGCGCGTGTAGGGCCTAGAGGAAATTGTTTCAGCCCTGGGTCACCGAATAATCACAGCATTTTTGAGCGAGGAAGCTCCTGCGATCTTTAACCTTTCTTACTAATCGCCAATTTTACGAATTGGCAGTTCTGAAGATTTTGATATAACTTGCTTTCGCTGCAATAGCTTGCATTCGATCGCAGTGTCTTTTGGTTTTTCAACTGAAAAACTGGCGTTTGCTCAAGTAACGTGTATGAAATGTCCTGCTATATAGCAGGACATTTCATGCATTGATGCATTGTTATATATATAACAATGCATCAACACATACTATTAAACTTAGATCCTCAGAGTTGTGTTCGTCTTTGTAATTAACAAGTTACAGACGTATTATTTTTCTTACGAGTGTAATATTTATTTTCTGTAGCTGGGCCCGTTTTGTGCTCCTTAATGTCAGTGTGCTATGACGTTATCATAATGTGTATGGTTCTGAATATTCTCTTTACAATGCCTACAAAGGCCAAAATGACGTCAGCCGACCCCAACTCAAGCATTGGACCCGAAAACTGCGTCGCTCGGATGTATGCGCTCGTCAACAATCAATTCGTCCATGGATATTTGAATTCGCTTTCCTGGCCAATGAGTGTCCTGACAAAACTTATCATCACTTGAGAATGCCAAGTTGTACGGTGTGCTTAAAAAGCACAGTGAAAGCTTGGGGTCGTCGCACCGGTGCTTTTGCATGTCACGACTGCGTGATTTCACAGTTCTCTTCTGAGTTGAGGATTACAGGTAAGAAGGAGGAGTTTAAAAAAAAAATACGTGGCCCCATTAACGCGGATATGTGTGCTACACCAGATAAAAATATTGACTTTTTGAGTGCCGGTAAACTTCCAAACGATCATTTGGCCTGTCGGCAAGAACACCTCATATCCGGCGTCCGTCTCTTTTGATGGCGTCAATAATTCCCTGGAGACCACCATGCCGTCCTTCTTGGTTTAACCCCGTCGACGTCGCTCCTCACCAGTCGGTGAGAAAATCTCATCTTGAAGGGATGACCGGGTTTTGAAGAAGTATGATGCTAAACATACACTCGCTCACTATGGGGCAGTCGAGGAGCAGTCATGTCCCGAGCCAATCGCCCTGTCGTGGCCGGCGTAATCGGATCCTGTTCCATCGGAGTGAAGTCCGAAAGTACTAGGACGGTACGTGCGACACTGCGCCACCTGACGTGAAGGTAATTGACACCATGACCGTTGAACATAACCAACGTTACTAGATTAGCTTAGTTACGAAACTGCCCATAAACACTGCTTCCACGAGCAGAATCCCCCTCTCTCCCAACGGCTCGCCTCCCGCCGTTCAACGCGCCATCGTTTTGAGGACGGCTGCTCTGGTAACTACAGTGTCACTTTTTGGAATACATATGTTCTTAAACAGAGCGTCTGGATAGCGTTTCACCGTACCTTATGGAATACGCAGGTTTGAAAGAAAAATCTAGATGGCATTTCAAACGACGGGAGACGGACTGAAGGGGGTGAGGACGGGGCGGGGGGGCGCTGACACATCTGTGGGAGCTAATCTATACCCGTTTTCACCTCAAGAAAAAAAGCAAGTGTTGCGCATTGTTCATGCGCGGCGCAGAATATTTCTTACGAGATTTGGTTGTCGGAAGAAAAAGTGATGCTTTTGGCGTTTGAAACGTGTACGCCTTGATAAGATAACGCATACCTAAAATTCACCTACATATATCTTAATAATCAACATAAAGGTGGAAATTGGTAATGCTCCGCGAGGAGCCTGACTTGTTTTACTACGGTTATTGAGGTGAAAACAGATATAGTAGCGTTGACCATGACTTGAAACCGTGACGTCACGTGCCAACGTCGCAGGGTATCAGGTCACCAGACACCGTGCCGCGTGACGTGCCTTAAAATAATTACTTGGCATCGTAACGTAACGTGGTTAATCTGTGTGCCAATAAAAAAAAACGTACGTAATTCACCGTTTCTCATACATTACAGTTCTGCATATGACGGGTTGACCTATACACCAACTTAACCCTATGATGACGTCACGCCACTAAGGTGGCGCTGCGGTCGGCACTCCCTATGCACACCCGCTTTTCTCGAAGACGCCACTTCGTCTGCGCTCAGGGATCATTAAATGAACATTAGAAATGTTGAGTTGAGTTGGAGCTACCATATATATATATATATATATATATATATATTTGTTTTTCTTCTACATAGGAATTAAGAGGAACCACGTACTCAAGCCTCTGGTGAACGTCGACCACTACAACTTCATGTGTCGAGCTCTGGGTCTGGATCCGCGACCGAACAACGGTTCCTGGTACCGAATGAACGAAGGGCTGGTCGAGTCTGGGCTTGACTTCCCGAAGTTCGGGAGCTCTATGTACGGAGGGAACTTGGGCCAGATCTTGCGACCAAGCTCACAGCACGCAGCCTTCATCCTGCTGGTCACGACCCTCGACCGGTTGGTCTCAACGTGAGATGTGCGAAGGCAGCGGAGTGAAACGAACGTGCGAGAGACGATTCAGGAGGAGGACTGTGTCGATCACGCGAACAGCGAAGGATTTCAAGCCCGATGAAAAGCCCCAGAGTGAACACAGAAGTTACAACGCACACACTAATCTTTTTTTCTTTTTTTTTGAAGACAGCAGGGGTAAGTGGAAAATAACCCAGAGGGTTGAACTTGTAAACGGGTCTGTAATTTGCGCATGTGAATGATAAGGAATGTTTTTTTGGAAGGACAGTTCAACCAGTCTTGCAAGCTGTACATTGCTTTATCAAAGGCGCGAGAGCGTAACTCTCCAAAATATTGTGTTCTTTATTTCGCGAGCGCTCGCGCGAGAAAATACCTTTCCAGAGGCACTCACCAACAGGTAGCCGCAGAACGTTGTACGGAAATCGAGCTTGAAACCCTCACCCTGAGAATCAACGAGAGAATAACGGACGCAGCAAATTGTTCATTTAGCAAGAAATATAAGCATGTGTGCGTGATCCGACTTCGGAATTGGATGGAATTCTATTTTCTTGCGGCCTTGCTACTCGTAATTCTAATGGCACGCAGGTATGTCAGCCTTCCTAAATGTTAAAATAGTTCTAGACGCTTTTTTTCTAATGATATTTATTTTTTAAACGAGAAACCAGTATGTGACAAATACAACATAAAATGTGGGTCAATGTGTAGACCCAATATTTGTTTAAGAATCGGGATTTTACTACTTGTTTACATAACTACAGCCTGGAATCAGTGTGCAATAATCACGTGGTCTCAATATAAGTTGAGCTGTAAATACTGTTTCATAATTCTCCCTTCTTGACGCGATAAATGTGTATGCTATGAATGCTGGGTGACTGGGACTCCGGCTTGTTCTAAATGTAAAGTTCAGTAGGATTCAATAGAAACGCTACCACATGAGCAACTTCGCCCTCGTAACTCGAAAAGGCAGCTGTTAACAGATGCTGCATTCGCGTGCACCACGATCGATAATCTTCCCCGCATCTCACCTTTCCCAACAAAATCAATCACTCAGACGTCGCCGAAGGCGACAAGTTCAAAAAGGCGATTACTATTACGTCTTTACGTGTTACATGTGCTTCCAGTGATCAATCGCTCGTTCATCATATAAACACTGTGAATCGTTGAACATTTTCGGACTTTATATCCTGTTAATACTGTTCTTGCACTGTGCTCTTCTCAGCATGTAACTGTTATGACTGTCTTAACATTGCACACAAAATTCGGACTGGCGAGAAAATGCCGATTCGTGGGTAGAAAAAGACGAGACATTTTTATAAATGCCACTGAGTTTCTGCACCTCGTATAATCGCAGCAATGGGTGCCCATGCAACGCGTCACTACTTGAATAGAGGCCACGTTCCTTTGCAGAAGGACGTAAATGGAGCGATATGAAGTCGCGATGTATCGTGAGTGGCGAATTCTGGTGACAGTTCGTTGGCAGTATTGTGTATGCAACCATAGCCAGATTTCATAATTTCTATCTATAAAACTGGCCGTGGTAACAAGCTCGATGCTGCAAACTGTTGCTAACGGCGCGCGCGCTGCGTACGCGATTAGGCCGACGTCAGCTTTACCTGAAGGCTTCTGTATTCCATCGCTCATTTGCATGTTTATTGTGTTTGTGGATGTCGCTGGTAATGACATTGCAAAACTGAACACAACTTTTTAAACACACAACTAACGTGCGCGTTCATTGCTACCCTTACCCCTTTAAAAAGAAATACAATGAAGATTGTTTTGTTTTTAGATTCTTCGGTCGCAATCTTCTCACACTGCGCACACTTGCGCATATTTGAAGGGCCTATATTTATAAACCCGACATGACTATCAATCATCGCGATAATCACAATCCTATATTGTTTGTGCCTCCAACTGTCTACACAAAGTTACATAACCTAGAAACAATTGAGAAGGAAAGGTTACACAACACCTTAATACCAAATAAAATGCCAAAAAAAAAAGACAAATATTTTCGAAAGAGATTAAAAATAAGTTTATGTATATATCACAACACGTGTACGAAATGTTATGTGATACTGAACCGGCAATAAAAATACCACAAAGACTTTGGATCTTGACTTATTTTTTTTTTCATTTTTTTTTTTTTTACGCGGAGTTTTATTGCACAGCAGCAACAATTTAAAAATATACTGTAGAATTGTCTCGCTTACGGAAGATCGTCCGAGTCTTCGACGGAGCTATAGTTGAGCCGCTTATAATTCGTCTTGGACAGCTCGAGGGAAGACCTCCGGAACAAGTGACTCGGAAACACCGTGTTGTGCCTGTCCTGAGAGCGAGACGAGTGGCTCTGCAAGCGGTGGGACATTTCCAAGGACACATCGGTGTACGCCGACAAGGTCGACTCCGAAAAGCTGCTCATTCCTGCCGAGCCGCGACCGAAGAACGCCAAGTCACGGGCCTTCGAGGTCAGAAACGGGTCCTTTGCCGAATCGCGGTTGCTGGCCACAGCGTGGTCATCCCGGTAGAAGTCAACGTTGCTTCCGCTGGTCGAGAATCTCGAGCTCGCCTTTCGGGCCAGCTCGAGGAGCCTCCTGTACCGTAGAGGACGCTGACTCTGCTCGTTTCGTCGGGTACCCTCTAGCTTTGACGAGGACACGGGCGAAGCCGTCCTGGCTGAGATGACTCCCTCTTCGAACGGGCTCGAATTTTGAAGACTTCCCGTGAGCGTTTTGTTCTCTTTCCTTTGCCACCGGGTCCAGAAGTCGCGAAGCTTCTTGACCGAATGAAGGATCGGACTGCGGGCACTGTCTCCTCCTCTCGGTGCTTCGTCAAGAGACCCCTTGAGGGTCTTCCTGGAAGTTGCGTCCATAGTCTTTCCTTCTGGGACGTGGACGGCAATGGGGACTGCGACCGAATATCGGTTGGAACGACGATATTAAGCATCCCAGCAGGTAAGGTGCAGGATTGAGGGAACCGCGTACAGCCGAATGAGACAGCAGAGGACGGTGATGGCGACGCTTTTCTTGGGCGGCAGTCCCATGGCGTGGAATAGCTGCAGCAGGTAAGCGAATTGGAGTAGTGCGGTCAAGAATCCGCTCACCAAGTCCGGAGTCCAGACATTACGAAGCTGTCGGGCATTTTCTAGGATTGTTGGACTCAGCATCTTCGTTGTCGGTGGCTTAAGAAGACCGCTCCAGGATCCTTCAATCCGTAATTTTGAACGATTTTGGTGCGGCCGAAGCCTACGCCGACATGGCGTTGAGACACTTCTTGTCCCACGAGGCTCGTGCTCGGCGAGTGACCGCGTGAGTAGAGCGTGCCCTGCTCCTCGACACCAGCTGCACCAGCCATCGCTGCTATACTCTATTTCACCTTATGTTGTACCGCAGGAAAAGCTACAAGCGCGAGCTCCTTGCTCTAGGGCACATCTCGGCGGCACAAGCTCTCGTGCATTAAGGGCAGCTGCCAACGCTATGAGCTCGCGCTTCTAGCCTTTGTTGCGGTACAACATAAGGTGAAACGGAGTGCAGATTAGTTCAGTTACGGAACCACCCATAGGTGCTGCCTGCACGAGCAGTACCCCAATCTGCCCCCCCGGATAGGCTCCCGTCGTTCGTCGCGCCACCGGTTTGAGGATGGCATTGGCTACTATGGTAACTGCAGTGTATTTCATGGAATGCATATATTTTGATGCACAGCGTCTAGACGGCGTTTCGCCGTACTCCATGGAATGCACAGTTTTGCAACGACAATCTAGATGGCGCTTCAAATGATGGGAGGTATGGGAGGTTTGAGGATGGGTAGATGCCGTTGGGCGAAGAGACTGTTTATATCACTGATCTCTATGACAATTGCTGGATCGCGCTTCCCCGCTTGTTCGCTGCAGCGCAAGTGAAGCCACCGGGCTTCACTCGCTTGGGATACGATTTGCCGTTTTTGCTAGCCTTTGCTGCGGTTTTCCAGCGTGCTGACGACATGTTTTCTACTCGTTCGTCGTCATTCGCCGAAGAAGTTTTTTGAAGACTCTGTGTATTGTTGAGACTTGCCGTTGTGAACACGTGGAAAATTTTACGAAAGTGCAGTGTCGCAGGAAAAAGGCACAACGCGTCGAAAGGAAGGGCTGGCGGCGTGTTCAAAGCTTCCTTGGCACGCCGAAGTGCCGTGTCTCTGTGCCTTCGCACGCTTGGATACCGACCAAGAACCGACGCCGTGTGTATGCGTTCAGCGAGTGCAATGTGCGTGAAGCTGTTCGTGCCTCTGGATCAGCGTCTTTTCCTCTCGCGGTTTAGGAACGAGCTTAATCCAGCGTCCACTAGCGACGGAAGATGGGGAGAAGGTACGTCTTTTTTTCGTCCTTAGACGATTTACACAATACCGTGCACAACAGCTCCTCATCACTGATCAGTGCTGGCTTATTATCAACCTACTTAATTGCACTTGACGTTTGAGCGCGGCTCGCCTAATTGTAATTGGTCAACAGATTGCACACGACCATATCGGCCGCGCTTCAAAGATTTTCATTCTCGCCGTCTTGTACTTTTGCTTTCGAAAACCCCCCTGGCTCCACAACGTTGCCCTATTCGTGCTCCCACGGAATCTATTAGAGTAGATTTGGGACATAGCCATGGTTAATATAGTACATAAGAACACGTACAGATCTCCCCCTTTTATTGATAGCAACTCACCGGAACAGCTGGACGATCCAGAACTCCGTGGCCGATATATATAAAAGATCTAAAGGCATCTACGCGCGACACACGTTCAGAACTTTGGCGCGGCGTCAATTCTTGACCGGTATCCAAGCGTGCGAAGGCACAAAGATGCATCACTCGGCGTGCCAAGGAAGCTTTGATCACGCCGCGACACCGGCGACACGTTTTCGACGAGTTGTACCTTTTGATACGGCTTCACGCACATTGCACTCGCTAAACACATTCACACGGCGTCGGTTCTTGGTCGGTATCCAAGCGCGCGAAGGCACAGAGACACGGCACTTCGGCGTGCCAAGGATGCTTTGAACACGCCGCCAGCCCTTCCTTTCGACGCGTTGTGCCTTTTTCCTGCGACACTGCACTTTCGTAAACTTTTCCACGTGTTCACAACGGCAAGTCTCAACAATACACAGAGTCTTCAAAAAACTTCTTCGGCGAATGACGACGAACGAGTAGAAAACGTGTCGTCAGCACGCTGGAAAACCGCAGCAAAGGCTAGCAAAAACGGCAAATCGTATCCCAAGCGAGTGAGGCCCGGTGGCTTCACTTGCGGGAGCGGCAAGCGCGATCCAGCAATTGGTTTATATACACCAACTTGTCTGGGCTACGGACCCGCTGGCAGAATCGCCTCTATCAGCTTCAACACAAGTACGGCTTCTTCTCGGAGCCTGTTGATGCGTCGACAGAGACGGAGTGGACGTCGAAAGTTAGGAAGAGAGTCCAAGACTGCGAGACCCAACAATGGTTCCAAGAAGCCCAAACGAAATCGACGCTGGAGGTGTACCTCGCCAACAAAATAACCATCGCCTCGGAAGTCCGGCTGTATGACAACAGCCTGGGTAGCCGCTTCTTGTTCGAGGCACGTGCCGGGGCACTGCGGACGCTGTGTTATAGGCGTCGTTTCGACACCACTGTCACGTCAACAATGTGTAGGGTGTGCGGGTTAAATGACGAAACGGTGGAGCATATTGTGCTAGACTGCGCGAGACTCAAGCCGTCCCGGTCACAGGACAATAGCCCAAGGCGTCCGAGACCCTTAGCGCTCACTGAAGCGTTGGGCTTCACTGACAGTGAAATCGGACAATCCACAGAAGTCTGCCCAGCTACGGGGCTGAAGGTAGCCTCCAACGACACAAAAAGGCTTGTTGCAGACACAAAAAGGAGACTGGAGGACTGGTGGCAGAAGATTCACCTCAGGGAGCATTAAGACACCTACGTTCTAGGCTTGGGCACAAACCTTGTTTGAGTCCTCCCGATTTAAAGGGAAATAGCCGCAGCATCATCATCATCATCATCATCATCATCAGGCTAAAGCCCCTCGATGTGTTTACGTTTGTCTTGCAAGTAGCGTCAAATGCGCCAGTGCACGAGTCCTGTGTCTCGAGCGGCCTTGAACCGAAATGGTGGCGTAGCACTGAAATGAACCGCCCTTGTAAGCGAATGGCGGCGGAGCACCCGCTCCCGGCGCGTGTCTTGCGCGTTTCCACAACAATGGTTGACGGTACTTTGGACAGAAATGAGTGAGAGCTCCGCGGGAGTTCCACAACTGACCTAATCTAGACTCGATTTCATACTTGTACATTGTTGTCAAAGCTGCTGGCGCGAACATGGGGTTTGATCTCGCAGATCATATGCACGCGTTCTCGTGCAAACGAAATCATAGACAAAGCCACACGGGAGTATATGTAGTAACGTTGACACCAACCTTTGATGCCACTCATACCGCTGACTGTGACCATAGCTCTGACTATAGAGTCACTGAATAGGTTTCCAGAGTACCGACACTCCCAAGCTCCGCGCCGTGGCGCTCAAATTCATCCATACCCATGCCGCCATCTTGGATCCTTGCATAGCACACTGTACGATAACTGTACGCACAGCGCGCAGTTTTTGTTATCCACAGATATTTTAAGAAAGTGTGTGACGCTGTGGATAGCCCTCTTAAATCATTTACATTACGTATATTGCAGTCTAGCTGCAGTCGTGTAATAATTACTTCGCAGTTCACGTTAAAGATTCCTGATTAGCTGTCATACCGCCCTGGTAAAATATATTATTTTTGTATGAGTCACCTCTCACTGTCTAAATATCGAGGCAGACCAATAATTTACTGGACGAGGGTGATCTGTTACGTGTTTCCGTTGCATGCAACTGCGAACTTTCGCTTAGAGTTTAGCCGCGTATTTCGGTCATTCTGAGCCGCTGACATTTTTATACGCTTTTTGAGCATGCAAAAGACCGTCAGATAAGCGCAACAGCATTTCATCGATTTATTTACAACATCATACAAGATTTTAAGGACTGCACAGGAACAGAATAAAATGAAACAGAAACTCAAGCTCTCGTAGTAACTTGACAATTGCCTTGCTGGTCAGATGAAGCCTGCAGCAAAGTCCAGCACTGGTTTGCCCATGACGATGCTCGAAGCAGCTTGCAGTCGACGCTATCTCTGCAAATGGGCTAACTGAGCAGGGCCGTAACCAGGGGAGGGGGGGGGGGGGGTTAGGGGGTTCTGACCCCCCCCCCCCCCCGAAATTTTTTTCTGGGTAGGGCCCTGGACGGTGCACTTGCAGCCAGCCGATTTTAATCTCCACCTCTGCGCACGCGCAGTGGCACCGGTCGGCTACCGGGTACCAAACCGGGACCGGTTCTCCGGTTTGCTATAACTCTCCATTATATGCTACCGATGCACATGATTCATAGGCAAAAGTAAGACAATAGACATTTTCAAAATGGCCGCCGTTGTCCCCGAACCCCCCCCCCCCCCCCCCCCGAAATTTTTTTCTGGGTACGGCCCTGTCTGAGTCACGAGAATGACTGGATATGAAAGCAATTACTTTCTAAATCGAGAACACCAAGGATGTTTGTGTCATCATACATACTGATTGAGCAGCATCATGAATATTTCACTCGGGGCGTCAAGTTACATACCTAAGACCGTGCTGTCAAGGCTTCATTGTTGTTTTTGTGCCACAAGGCAAGAAAACAGCAATGTAATTAACAAAAACACTCAGTTGACAACCGCCATTCACCCGAGAGTTTTTGTTTAAATTGCGTTCTGAGTCACCCGGACATTCGTGCTTCCAATTTCGCGTACAAAACTACTCCTTAATGGGTTTCTATGTCAGGCTACCCACATTAAAATACCACCCTGGGA